ATCTATCTATCTATCTATCTATCTATCTCTCATATCTATCTATCCATCTATCTATCTATCTATCTATCCATCCATCTATCTCATATCTATCTATCTATCTATCTATCTATCTAGCTATCTATCACAATTGAGCACATTTCCCAAATAATCATTTCTCAATGAAAAAATAATGTGTGTAGCACTAAAGTTTTAACGTTAATAAAATTATTTTTCACAAGAAAATAGTATTTGTCTTTCTCCTTCAAAATTGCACATTTATTTTTTGTAATCCATTTTACTAACAATTTCTGAGTGAATATTGTTTCTACACTGTTTTTTTTTTCTTCAGCGTACTTAATTTGCACAGAAATAATGACACAATGGAAAAGAGAAATAGAGAAAATTATTTATATATTTTGGGGTATATATCCAGAGTTGCATTTCCCAAAAACATCATAAGTGTAAGTAGATTGTAAAGACTATTCCTTTCTATGATACTTACAATGCTTTTGGAAAATGCAGTCCTGGGCATTTCTTGACAGTTTTCATGAGCTTCACTCTTACATTAACCCCACAAATCCACCCTCATTAAAATACATGTGACCCTGCAGCACAAAAGCAGTCTTAAGTCGCTGGGGTATATTTGTAGCAATAGCCAACAATACACTGTATGGGTCAAAATTATAGATTTTTCTTTTATGCCAAAAATCATTAGGATATTAAGTAAAGATCATGTTCCATGAAGATATTTTGTAAATTTCCTACTGTAAATATATCAAAACTTCATTTTTGATTAGTAATATGCATTGCTAAGAACTTCATTTGGACAACTTTAAAGGTGATTTTCTCAGTATTTTGATTTTTTTGCACCCTCAGATTCCAGATTTTCAAATAGTTGTATCTCGGCCAAATATTGTCCTATCATAATAAACCATACATCAATGGAAAGCTTATTTATGCCACTTTCAGATGATGTATACATCTCAATTTTAAAAAATTGGACCCTTATGACTGGTTTTGTGGTCCAGGGTCACATATTATCATCCGTTTCTGTTGGTGAGGGCACTCAGGCCTGACTTTATTAGACAGAAGCTCACAAAAATACCAAAATAAATGATTGAATTTGTCTCCGGTGGGGGTGTGAACATCGGTTTCATAGCTCTCTGGTGAAGGATGGGCTGGTGAGAGATGACTAATGAAAAACAAGTAAAGACACATCAGGAAACCTCAGTCTTTGAACAGATGCGTCGACTGATCACAGAGAGACTCAAGACGTTCACATACTGAGAAAAAGATTACCGAGACATCGTTTGAGGGAAAATGTGTTCCACAAGACCTCAGACCGATACCAGAACACCAGCTATATTATATAATGTGTGTTGAACAGAATAGAATAGAACTGAATATATACATAACATTTCTTTGTGCATATATATATATATATATATATTAGTCAAAAATAATTTTGCAATTCCGTTTGGTGCAATTAATGGTGCAGAAATGAACTTATACACTTAAATTAAACATTGATCAAAGGTTAGCAATGATAACTTGAATTATTTAAAAAAAATATTCCAGTTTGCAGCTACTAACTCTGTACTCTTTCCAAATGTGAGTGAACAGCGAGGTTGTTTGGTGAGGTCAGGTCACTGTAGCCTACAGGTAGGATTTTCCCGTATTTCTGGGCGTGGCTGACTGTCACTCAGAGAATCCACAGACAACACCCTCAACAACCACTGCACTTCTCACTATTATAGACATACAATGACACTCTTTCCTCTGCGCTTTGATTCCTGCAAGCCATGGCACATGTCCATTCTTCCTTATGTAAATAGTGGTGCTTCTGCTTACACCCATAGAAACGCTGCTTTAGTCTCTGCTGTGATACGATCACATGTCAACAGTGGCAGAATAACACTTCTGTGTGCAGCGCAGTCTCAGGTTACATCTAGGCGTGATGTGATTTTAATACAAAGCAGCATAAAATACAAGAGCCAAAAGGAACCCGAAGGGTCCAGGGGTTCTCAAACTAGGGGCCACTAGAGGAGCTCAGTGGAAACAAAATGTAAAAATAAATAATAAAAAAGTAGGTAAAAATAAATAACATACATATTAAATAAATATTTTTTTTATATATATTTTAATGTATTTTTAAGTAATAAATGAGTAAATAATTAAAAATAATAAACTTACCAATTTTTCACAATATAAATTTGGTTTTTAAATAAAATTTAAAAAACTATAGATGCTTTTTATATTGTAGGACGGTGGTTCCTCTCACAAAGATGGTCATATTTGGGAGTCTGTGGCATCTAAAACATCAAGTTGAAGTAACACTGCAAGTTTTTCCTTGGTGCTACCAAAGTGGCCTGGGTGTGGGTTTTAGATAAGAAATACTAGGGTTATATGGTGAAACAGCCCTTGCTTTCATCACTTCCTGTGTCATTCAATAAACCCACACTGACCACAACAGCTGACCGTGTGTGTGTGTGTGTGTGTGTGTGTGTGTGTGTGTGTG